ATATAATAAAATAAATAAATATATATATATATATATAATGTATAATTTTTTGAGATTTAAGCTATTTATACTAAGCATTCGTGTTTTCATGTTATAATCTGTAGTCATTCTGGAATGAAAAAAGTATAATTCATATTTCCTAATTTTTATGGTGGTTATGAGGTTGGTCAAATTGACCAAACCCAAACACAGATTCTGTAGCAAAAATAACAGATAAAATATAAAGTTTTTTCTTAAAAACATTTGATAATTATCTGGAGGTTAGAGGGATTTTGCATGTGAAATTTGAACATTTTCTGATGCATAAAGTATTTTTAATCTTAAAATGAAAATTACCTTGCATGTTGGATAGTTAACATTCAAAAAGAAAAAAGGCATGAGAAAAACATTACTTTAAAAAAATCTTAAAAGTTAATAAAGAAGTACGATATTTTCCGTACGAAAGCCTTGTAATGTTTACTGATAATCTGCAAAATTTTGTGAAGGTACGCTTAGTAACATAAGAGTTATAGCATTAAAACTACAACAAGCACAAAATGGTTATAAGAACAGTTCTTGGGACTGAGTCCATCCTGAGAGAGTTAAATAATGCTAATCTTTAAGTCCTTTGACCCATGCCACGTTTTATGTGAAGGTGCAATATGATCAGCAAACAACTGGCAGGGTGCACAATATTTACAATCTAATTTTAAAGAGTAACAATGCCAACTATGCAGCAGTTTTGTTGTAATGTGATAATACTTTGTGGAGAAACAACAGTTTTCTTGATTTATGTCTCCTGAAAATGGTCCATTAGGTTTACATGGACCTTGCAATATTGTATGTCTTTTACTTGGCTGTCTGTAATGATTAAAGGAAAATTACCTCTGTCTGTGAGATGTTTGTCATCAATTTGGAGAACAGCAGGTTCATCAGTTGTTTTGTCAATGTCAAGTTCTTTTCCTTCTAATATGTTGCTTTGTTCTTCTTCAGTTTTAGCTAAGTTCATTTCAAAGCTGTCCATCCCTACTGGGGTAATGCCAATGGAACTAGGCCCACTCTTTTGCTCGGTATCGTCTCTGTTATCAGCTGCATTTTTGGCCTCAGTCATGTTTTAAAAATATTTTTTGTAGCCAACAGCAATTCTCCCTTCTTTTTCCATTTTTGCATATTATAAAATAAAGCAAATAGTACTTTAGCACAAAACTGCAGTCAAGAATTCCACTTCCACACTCACTCTTATTTATGGTGTAAAGTTGACTTTGAACCGATGATTTATTTTAATTCAGCATCAATTCCCAACACTTTTAGAATAGTTAGAATGGCTAGACTTTACACCAGAGTGTGTAACAATGTGATCCAAGTAAACACAAAAGAAAAAAGTAGGTCCCTTAGAATGTAAAATGAATGAATGCATGAATAAATAACTCTAAGTGAGTTGGATGGCTCTGAAAATTAATACATTTGAATATATAATAATTCAAACTTTCGAGCCAGCTAGACCCCCCCCCCCTCAATGAGTGGTTCATGTGCAGCTGCACCAGCTATTCTTTTGCCACTGTCCAAAACAAACGAGGCTTGTACAACAGAAACTTAAAAATTAGCTTCAACTTACGTAGCAATCATTTCGGGTGTTAAGTCCGTTTCTTGTTTTTCCACAGTCAAACTAAATTGTGGTCCTTTTTCCAGCCAATAGCTTTTCACTGTACTAAAACACACAAAAAAGAAAATTATTAAATGTATATAACATAAAAGTTTAGCTGAATATTATTATTATTCCAAAATGAAACATACATTTACTGTTTCACACAAACCTTAATGATTTTAATCTAAAAAAATAAATTTGTGACTATATAAATACACTGATATATTCAATAACTTGCTTGTTATAAGCCACCAAAGACACAAAAATAACAAAGAAGGCATTCACAAAGACTTAAATATATTTAAAAATTAAAACACTACATGTAATAAAGAAATTAACTGTTATAAAATCTGAACATTAAAACAGTTTGGTTTAAAAAAATGTTTTCAATTACATTTCCACAAGTTCTAAGATCTAAATGTGACATAAAGGGAGTAGCAATTATAACACAGGTATCAATTAACAAACAAAGACTTACACTTCTTGTAGAAGCTTTCTCTTCTTGAAATCTTGCTTTTGTGATTCAATGATGTCATCAATATTCATGTTCTTAAACTTTAATAGGCATTCTTGCACATCATCATGAATTTTATCAACCTAAAAATGAAGTTCAAGTAGTTATAATAGTTATATAAAGCAAAAATAAAATGTGGTAAGTAACCTATAAAATTGTAAACACTCAACATAAAACTTCAGCAAATTTTTCAAAATAGTTTTCATAAATTAAAAAAATTCTGAATTTTGAGATACTCAAATTTGAAATATATATATCACTACAATTCAAGTTGCATTGCAAATGTCATAAAAACCCTGCATAGTGTATATAAACATTCAATGAATTTTTGTTTTAAGTACTTTTATTTAATTTGTGCTAATATGATTATGATTCTCAGAGATAATAAATAAATGACCACTAAACAAATTCAAACTTTTCAAAAACTCTAAAACTAGATTTTTCGGTAATATTTTTAAAATATACTTCTCAACTTCTATTTTCATACATTTCTAGTTCAAGTGTCATTATCTGCAATTATTAACATACATCTTTTTCATACATTTCTAGTTCAAGTGTCATTATCTGCAATTATTAACATACATCTTTTTCACACATTTCTAGTTCAAGTGTCATTATCTGCAATTATTAACATACATCTTTCCAATACATTTCTAGTTCAGGTGTCGCTACCTGCAATTATTAACATACATCGCTTTCATACATTTCTAGTTCAGGTATCGTTATCTACAATTATTAACATACATACTTTTTATACATTTCTAGTTCAGGTGTCGTTATCTGAAATTATCAACATAAATCTTTTTCATACATTTCTAGTCCAGGCATTGTTATTTGCAATTATTAACATAAAAATGTTCATACATTTCTAGTTCAGGCGTTGTTATTTGCAATTATTAACATGAATGTTTTCATACATTTCTAGTCCAGGCATTGTTATTTGCAATTATTAACATAAATTCTTTTCATACATTTCTAGTTCAGGTGTTGTTATTTGCAATTATTAACATGCATCTTTTTTCAACAGTGAAACCAGTAAACTCAAACAGGTACAAAATTTCTATTTTGCACTTCATAAACTGCTTGTTAATTACCTATCTTTTAAAAATTTCACCAGGTTTTAAAATCTGAAAGCTTAATTAGTTGTGTATCCTGAAAAATTATTGACAGGAATGTAACAATACGTTAGACACCAGTTTTTTTTTCATAACATTTTTAGTCATCTCAGTACGAGCTTTAAACTAAAAGTGTGTCAAAATAATGTATTATCTAGGTGAAAGGTTAATAATAATATAACTTTAATATTAGGTGCTAAAAATGATAACTCTGTAACCAATAAAATATGTGCCACAAACACAAAATCAATAAATAACAGAATAGTGCAAAGTTCTTCAAAAACATGTAAATTTACTAGTGTCCAGCTGATATCATCATATAATATAAATACAAATTGTAATGTATGAATACCGCTGGGCAGTTGAATTACGGATGGGCTACATACCCCACTGGTCTTTAAAACTTTTTTGTGCATGAATTATTTTTCATTACAGGATCCACAAAATAATGTGAGTAAAACAAAATACCACCAAAATTGTAATTAATCCTACTAATTACTGTGGGATTCATATGCCCCCCCCCCATATTTTAAGTGGAAAATAAGTGATTTCACCTAACTTTTTAGTCAGTTCTTTGCAATATGTTAATGCTTTTATACATGGGAGAACAGGAATCAGAGAACATAATATATAAGTGCTTTACAACATGCATATTTTTATCACACAGGCAACAGGTAATAAATTATTATAGGCCTCGTTTGGGCATTTACGTGTCAGGCTTGTTTGTTCCGTTATTTTAATGAACTAAAAATACAGACTTTCATATAAAATCAAGGTTAGAAGTCATATGCTAACAAAGATAATATAACAGGAATGTTAACAAGTCTAAACCCAATAGAATGTAAAACAGCAGAAGTTTTGTTCACAGATTTTTTAATTTGAGAGGAAATTTTTACCTCCCCCATGTTTCTCAGAAATGAAAAAATAAACATATCCAATTATGCAACATTCAAGAAAATTAGTATTTAAAAATAACACATACCTACCTATTATGAATCTGAGTCAGATATAACTTTTTTTATTGCATGCCAGCTAAAGTTCATACACTAATTAATGTTCCTTTAGCTACCTGTAATCAATAATCTCTCTCTTTTGAGATCCAGGTATATTTTGACAACAAAATATTATCTGTGTTTCTTAGAAAACACAAGATGAAAATAAGCTGTCTGAATCACTTAAACACCAAGTAAAAAATAAAAACTATAAAAAATATGCAAACCTTTCTTCTAATCTTTGGGCCTCCTTCTGCCGTCTTATCTACCATAAGCCAGCCAGCAGACATAGCTTTACTGAATCCAACTTTGGCATTTGGAATGGTTTGCTGTAAATAAAGTGAAATATTACTATCACACACTTCTTAACATGTTATTTTTTCCTTTATGAATGCTTTTTGTCATGATATAAAAGACTGTTTACTTTAGATATTATTGATTAATTTATTTTTTGAGTGAATGATTTATTGTTGTTTAGTTGTGGTAATAATAAGAGTTAAAAGCTGACCATTGTAGGAAGTTGTGTTTATAACTCATTGATGTTGAGACTATCGAATGTTGCATGCAATACACTGATGTTGAGAACATAGAGATTTCTAGAAGGTGGACAGATGATTAAGTAATAAATATATAAATAGTGTGAGACAAGAAGAAATAGCAGACAGACAATAGCAAAAGAGAGTAAGATTATGGGCAAGGAAAAGTTCAGCATGAAGTTAACTACCGTAGAAGTGATAGGCCTAACATTAAATATTGTTGCGTTAGCAAGGTCATGTGACTAGTATCACGCCACCTCTTTCTAGAAATCTTGTGATCCTTCTAGATATAGTGTAGTCTTGTATATATAAGACCGACCATGAAGCGACGGGGGAATGAGTAATTGAATGTATGCGGACAGAATATTGTTGGCCACGTAAGATGTGAATTATAGCGTTGTTATAGAGCGACTGTTGAAATTAAGTGTATCGGTAAAGATGTATTCGGAAAGAATAAACCAGTTTTATTCAAGAAAGGATTTGTGTCGCTAAAGTTCCGTTGGAACGAATTTACGGAAAATTAATTAACGAACGGAGACGTAACAATATGTTAGAGTAAGACTAACAGTAGAAAAGGAGATAAGAAGAATAATTTATGCCATCAAAGCGTGGTTCTAGATGTTGCAAGTTTTTTTTGGTTTTGTTTTTTTGGAGAGGGGGGGTATGCATCTTACGGAATCATGGTTAAAATTAATTAACCCTGCTATTATGGGTTCATTATAATTAGAGTTTATGCCAATTTTTAATTTTTATCATAAAACAATACAAGTTATACAAAGATTGTCAAAGAAAAAATATTTTATCAATTCAAGACTTTCATTTTGCTTGAATTTGCATCAGGCCAATATGTCCTAAAACATAACATGTAATAGGATGGGTACAAAATCTTGGTCAGGGCCTCATTGGCACTGGATATAGCAACTGTAGTGTGACTAACAGCTCCACTGGCACTGATTGTAGCAACTGTAAATTGACTAACAGCTCCACTGACACTGGATATAGCAACTGTAGTGTGACTAACAGATCCATTGGCACTGGATATAGCAACTGTAGTGTGACTAACAGATCCATTGGCACTGGTTATAATAACTGTAGTGTGATTAACAGCTCCATTGGCACTGGATATAGCAACTGTAGTGTTACTAACATTTTACAACTTACTCGTCTTTGCTTAAGATTAAAAAGAACAAGAAAAACTAAAATGCTGTAACGATTACAAAATTTTTATAATTTTCTTTGAGAAATTATATCTGGGATTACTTGGGTTGTACAAGGAATAATAATTATTGGAAAATAATCATATAATACAGTCAAAAATAGTAAGTATTTTATTTTAAAAAATTGCTAATTGCATAGACAGGATAAATATAACACAAAATACTTGTTTTAACTGGAAAAACCTTTTATGGCTATGATAGATTCATTCCAAGCTCACAAATATTAAGCCTTGACACAGTGTTTGAAAACTGTTGTGCATGTATAGAACATCTTAAAAGCTGCACCCAAATACCAAAACACTGTTTTTTCAAGATTAACATTGTAACATGTGAATAAAGGATTTTCAAATACAGTATTAAACCTTTATTGCACACAGTAATGTACATTTAATAAATGCTTCAATTCTGTATCTGAATGCTCTTACATCCAAATAAGTCTAAATAAACCATGACAATTATTTTTGTTAATTCATCTAGGTAATGTACCTAAATATATTTCACAAAAACATTTTTGTGCATAATAGCAGACCTATTTTAAAAAAGAAATTCAAAGATAATTTATTCCATAGTATTTTCAAAATTTGTGCAATGGGAGGTTTAATAGTGTAACTATACTTTTAAGACTTATAACGGGAAGACATTTTATCTTGTCAAAGATTTCAAATATGCCTATTATGAAGCAGTAGTATTTTTATATTTAAAAACATAAATTATTAATAAAAACATACAAAATATTTTATTGTAGATGTAGTTTCTTTTGCTTTGATTTCATACAAGTTATTGAAACGAAATCACTTATAATAAACTACACTATCTATTTGTTTGTCTTTCACTATATTTTTAGCTAATGCCAGGAATGAACTTTTGTTATTGTTACAGTCCACAATTGTAAACATTTTTAATGGGAGATTCTACCTAAACACCCTTACCTTATTATTTGGCAAAGTGTATTCTCATTTGATAAGCTTATTTTATGTTTAAAGCTAATATGAAAAAAAAAATAAAGTTTGATTAAAAGTTTCTGAAAGAAATCTAAACATGAAATGTTTCTTTGATCTTCTTTATTTAAAATACAATGAACTAATGTTTTTCCTTAAACTTTTGCTAGATCAGACTAAATAAAATATTGAAATATTTCCTCACTCTGTAGCCTCACAGCACTTTCATAAGCTCTAACCAAATTTCAAGCAACATCCAAACCCAAGATCTACATTCTTGAGCATTTGACTCTTGAATTGTCAGTTTTTCTTTTACTTGCTACCAGATTACAATTCAACATAGGATGATTATCGACAAAATATCTGATCATCTTATTTAAATAAAATCACAATTGATTTATATCAAAACCTCAGTAACACCCAGTGTCGATCATACCACCTCACAATGTGTATAAACATGATAACAACCATCATAAAATGAATGAATACCACCTCACAATGTGTATAAACATGATAACAACCATCATAAAATGAATGAATACCACCTCACAATGTGTATAAACATGATAACAACCATCATAAAATGAATGAATACCACCTCACAATGTGTATAAACATGATAACAACCACCATAAAATGAATGAATACCACCTCACAAAGTGTATAAACATGATAACAACCATCATAAAATGAATGAATACCACCTCACAAAGTGTATAAACATGATAACAACCATCACAAAATGAATGAATACCACCTCACAATGTGTATAAACATAACCATCACAAAATGAATGAATAGTGCCTCACAAAGTGTATAAACATGATAACAACCATCATAAAATGAATGAATACCACCTCACAAAGTGTATAAACATGATAACAACCATCATAAAATGAATGAATACCACCTCACAAAGTGTATAAACATGATAACAACCATCATAAAATGAATGAATACCACCTCACAAAGTGTATAAACATGATAACAACCATCACAAAATGAATGAATACCACCTCACAATGTGTATAAACATAACCATCACAAAATGAATGAATACTGCCTCACAATGTGTATAAACATAATAACAACCATCATAAAATGAATGAAAAACCACCTCACCATTAGCTCTTTCTGTGAAATCCCTTCTTCTGGAACATTATAATATACCAATGCTTCATGACTTCCTTTTTCAACCACTTCTTCACCTTCTTTTGTTAATTCCCACTGTTTACTGCTACGTTGTTCAGCAGTAATAACCTGCATAAATATCATGTATGTCTATTATAAAGATATTGAAACATCAAACACACCAAAAAGTACTCTATAAGCCTATGTACATTCACCTTTATTAAATACACATTACTAAAATTAAGTAGAAGGATGCATTAGTTTAAATTCTAAATTTTATGTTTTTAATGATCTTGATATTATTTAACCTTTATAATGTGACATGGAAAGCTACTGTTAAGACTGAAAAGCTGTTAATATACTTTAGTAAGGGAAAAAATAAGTTACAAAGTTAGAGGACTTTATTTTGCTTTTTGTCTTCTATATCTAGATTCTATACTCTGATGAGCATAAACATTAACTAACTTCAACCTTACGATCAGTGGTGGTTTTTGGAACATGCAACTACACTGGAGTCAAAGCAGCAGCCAAGTTTCTACCTTATGATGGAACTTGCAAGGTGGTTTGAGATTAATAGAAATATGAAAAAAAAGGAACTCATAACTCTTTTAATATGATTAAACTAAGTAGAGATTATTTTTTATAGTACTAACCTTGACAACACATTCCATTGGACAGAGAACACCCCATGACCCCATTAGTAATTTTGTTAACCCATAATCTGGTGCACTTATTACCAACCTATACTTGACCCTAGCTCTCCAGTTGCAACTAAAGTCATAATTTTCAAGCCTTTGTCTTTCCTGATAAAACATCCAAGGTGACTTGTCCTATGACCTTGCACACAGAGTTGACATGACAAAAACAAAATAATTTTGAATCAAGTCTCAAAGTTGTGTAAAAATGTTTTCCAAGTTGTGTACTATTATTGTAAACACGTATTTCAAAGCTGTGTTTCAGTATTAGCTCTGTAAAGAGAAAATCATTTTAAATAAAATTGAAACTATTTCAGTTTTTATTAGTCTTTAGAATTAGAGAAATTACTTTTTATAATTGGCTAGCTTCTGTAGTTCTACAACTTAGAAGTATTTTAAATACATGTAGGAGAAAAAACCCCATCCCTACTAGCAATAGTGGTAGGGGCCCCAGAAATAAGTTTTGCACATGGTCCCTAATAGATACATACTGCCCCTACTTGTGATTTATTTTTTAAACACAAAGGAAAACTTTTAAATAAGCAATAAATATAAGTACTTCTATCAATGCTAAGTACTCTTCTGTAAAGCAGTTAATTTAGCCTTTTATAAGCAGACTAAAAATTACATTCAAATGTAAGAACATAAGTAACAAAATCAAATTAGGACAATTTTAAATTGCATGTTGTTGAGAGAGAGACAAGAGTGTCACTAGCTACTAAGATTCAGTTTTCAAGGCTTGAGCCAAAAGAAGTAGCTGTTACTCAAAATATTAAAATATAATCCATTAAAGTCTACATATGACAGATTTTGACATTGAGAAATACATCTTTGCAACATCCCTCTAGAGAGGAAATATTTTTTTTAATCAGCAAGGTTTCTTTTATCAGAAGGTCAATTTTAGACTTGGGTCGGGAGCTGTAAGAATTCTGAAGTTTGAACACTACACAATCTTCATATGACTCATGAGCCATGGTTTGAAATACAATATTTTTCAGTTACAACTTACAAGTTACAGCATGATAGTGCTACTAGTACTAGTTAGTATTCACATGATTCAATATTAGCGTTACACATTTTGACTGGGACCTGAAAGGTTGGTTCATAATAAAAAAACAAAAGAAAAACCCGAGACAAGAGTTTGACTGAACAGATGAATATCAATGCTACGTTGCATCAGTGATAATTTCAGTTTTGGGCTACCTACAGCAACTTTATGTGATTATACGGTGTACTCATGTAGGGGATTTGATACTCGTGGCACTTTCGGTACCATACAAATTACTATTTTTTGGGTGAAACTGAACAAAAAAAAACTTACATTTCCTAGTGATTGTAGACTCTTAACTGCTCCTACAATTCGCTGATGATCTGTTCCCAATTTTACTGCAAGAGTTAGAGAGTCTATTGGTCCACATTCAGCGAGATGTTCCAATACATGTGTCGTGGTATCCGCCATTGTGGTTACATCAGCCTAACAGAATATGGGAAATGTTTAAAGTTTTAACTGTAAACATCAAAATTCACGATTTAAGGTACTAAAATAATCGCGGTTTTATTAATAAATTTGTCGATAAAGACACATTGTAATTATACATAAATTTAAATTATTATTTGTGTCACAAATTCTTTTTTAGATATGAAACATTTATTAAATTTCATACTTATGTCATGATCAGCTGAATATTGTAATGTAGAGTTATATCAAGAGATTTACCAGAATTAAAAAAGTTTATTTGAAACTCTGGACTTTCCTCTCTCAATAACTTCACAATTTTTACTTCATATGGATAAAGGATGGGCTTTCGTTGCACAGTTTACAGATAAAAAAAATAGAAATACAGTTATACCAGGTTTATTTTGATGATAGACCATTACCAGGACTGAAACAGGGTCATACGAGACAGTGTAGTTAAGATAAAGTGTGATAACATATTGTTACGTCTCTGTTCGTTTGTTAATTTTCCGTATAATTTCTTTCCGATGAAACTTTAGCGATTCAAGTCCTTTCTTAGATAAAACTAGTTTATTCTTTCTCAATAAAACTTTGCAATACACTTAATTTCCACAGTCACTTTAACTTCAACCCACGCTATAATTCACATCGATTCACGCACGTTACTTCCGGTCACTACCGTGCTTAACTCAATTGTCCGTCTCTACCTCTGCCTATCTGGAATTCGATTATCTATGCTGTCACTTCTCACCGGTCTTATGTATACAAAATAGAGTGCGTGTCTAGCAAACACTCCAGCCTTCAGGAACGTTCGAAATACTCTGTTACGTCTCCGTTTGTTAATTGATTTTTCCGTAACTTCGTTCCGACGAAATTTTAACGACGCAAGTCTTTACTTGATAAAACTGGTTTATTCTTTCCGAATATAACTTTACCGATACACTCAACTTCAACAATCGCGCTAAACAAACGCTATAACAACGAACGTCAATAATACTTCTGACTGCAGTTCAATTACTCACTATCTATACACACATTACATTACATTACCGCGTCACGCTGTCCCCCTCCTATATATACCAGACCACCCCATCAAGTAAATACTAGAGCATTCATGAAGGAACAAGATAGTTCTAGAAACTAGAGGGCGCCACACGTGACCTCGATGACGCAACAACTCATTACGTGTTACCAGCGTCTCGTAACTTCCGCTGTCGTAACACTGCCCCTTCCTTTGTATTGTTCGTCACGAACAATAGCAACTTAAGTTAAACCAATAGATAATTAACAATAACTTAATTAAATGTACATAATTTGCAAACACAAAACTAAAATTCAACAAAGTCTCATAATTTTACGGGACGTATCTTCTTCCGTACTGACTTCTGCTCCACGTGGGGTTCATTTGCTACATCAGGAACTGTCCTATTATCGGAAACAGTCACATCAGTGGTAGTAACTTCATTAACGGCTTCACT